TCCCTCGGGTCACCTTCTGTGATATGGAAGCCAAAACTGGGAAAATCATGTGTTAGTTTGACTGTTGTCTTATTGGATCCTAACGGCTTGAGAAATGTGCAGAGTACTGCGAAAATGAGGTCGACGAACGGGCTGCCTCAGAATAGCTTAGCTGCGGTGACAAATCTTCTTTTGTAAAGGCTTTCTGGATGTTCCCCGGTTTGAAATGAAAACCAATCGGAAACTTATTCTGGCCCAGGGCGCAATCCCCAAATTGAGGGACTAGAAATTTATCTTCTTCTAATCAGAAAGAGGATAAAAGGCTTCTACCCTTTTTATGTGAAATCGCAACATCGCCTTTGCCGTTAAATGATTTATAGTCTTCAAGTGGAGCTGTTGCCCTCTTGTAGCCGGCTTCGGTAGGTTTTGGGTTAAAACGTATAAAGGGTCGAAGTATGATTTATGCCTTAGGTAATCGCAATCAGCCCAATTTCAGACTCTGCTTGCATGCCTTTGCGGACTACAACTAAGTTCGTACGTATGTAAGTGGCTTATGAGATACAGGGAGCAGCTACATTCATATCCTCGCAATTCTTCTTGACCCTGGTGCAGCCTTTCGGAGGCAGTTAGCTGAGGCAGACAGCTCATCTATGTCGTCTTGGAGTTTCTTGGCTCCAAATATCATGGCCACTGCACTGAAGAGGCTCCAATTCCTGATACTAGCTTCATTTAAGAAGTTCAACTAGTTGGAAAACTTCAACGCAGGTTAAAGTCACGCATGATTCCATACTGAGGAAGGCGTTGGTATAGCGGTACCCCGGGAACCCTCTGGACTGCACTTTATCCGCTAAAATAATACTCAATCCTCTCCCAGCAAGGTATCGGCTAGTTACAAGCTCTGCTTTTTCCCCAAAAGTAAACCATTTATCCCTGTACAAAATAAATTTCATCTTGGGTGATTGTCAACTGATAAAAAAGTGGCATCCATCACTGCAACAATTATCAGGGGAGATTGGTGAAGGAGGATGGAACGATTACACTTTCTTCTATCTTAAAGTGCCTATCTTTTTATGGTTTGGTTTTTGGAACAATGTGGCATGTGGTCTTCTGTTGCTGACGCAGGCCCTACTTCTGATTGGCTCTTTCTGAAGAAGTCATCTTTGCCATAAGCCATAGTGAACGCTCTCAACTGCTGTCCACCATTCCCAAAGCACTGTCTACTGGGTATGAAGTGAAGCCTTAGATATGTAAACTGGGTAGTGAGCCGATCGTTTGGGGCCATTCAGTGATGTCTAATCGCTGAATAAGCCAACCAGTCAGTCAGGAAGTGATCTAAAGTGACGGCGCTTGAAGACAGCCGCCATCTGTTAATAGCTGGGGGGCAGAATCTATTTGCTTATCAGCTTTTAAGGCTTTTTTAGTGTATAAATGTGCCACCGAATCACTTCGACACATATGTTGAACTTCATCAATTGCAATATGTGGTCCCTCACTTTGAGGAACGGAAAAACTACCAGAACGCGATGCATCACCAGAACCGCTTTTCAATAGTTTCTAAACGATACTTTATGGCACGACCACTTATTCCGCCTTCTTTGAACAACCAAATCAAACTCACTTCGTAAAGCACGCGGGCAAGAATCCTGTCTCTTAGGTCAAGGCAACATCTGAGGACATGAGAATTCAAAATTCGCAGGAAATAGAGGTAAGGATATTGACAGACTTGAGCGAAATCCAAGTTTCTACAAGTTCCGCAACAACTGGTGGTGTTGACGAGCCCCACCAATAGTGGGTGAACTTCACCAGTGCCTGGAATGCAATCAAGAAAATCGTCTAGCTACTTACAACTCTATTCGTGTTCGGCACGATCGGAGCCTAAAGACTTTAGATGGGTAGTACTGAAGTGGTCGAAGGCACAGTAGAAAAAGGTCAACTAACGGTGCAAATAGGCCAGGTGGAGAAATCGCCTCATATCAAATCCTTTGCAAGCATTGGCCAATGAGAGGTTCCTACAGGAGGAACGGAGATAGGGCCAGAGTGACAAAGAATGTTTGAGCCACACCGTGAAGTATAATCCCCCATATCTCCTCTTGAGCTTCAATATAACGTGGACAAAGTCACAATGCTTCCGCATTAACATACTTTTAGATACACAATCCAGTGCGTGCTTCCAATCAACATGTTCCTCGAGAAGATATACATCTTCCTGTGGTTCTGGCACATCATGCTCACAGTCATAACCATAGCCTCTCTCTTCAGTTGGCTACGGCGTCTTTTATGGCGTCGTTCGCGACTCAAGTTTGTGCGACATTACCTCAAGGTAGTGAACGCTGTGCCCCCCGTCCTGGATCCGCGTGATCGTCAGCGGACGCGACAGTTCGTAGAGGAGTACCTCACCGCAGACGCCTTCTTCCTAATTCGCCTAATCGGTGCTAACAGTGGCGACTTTTTGGCCAGTGAACTGATCAATGAACTCTGGATGGGGTTCATTGGTTGTGCTACTGCTGCTTCGTCACTTTCTCTACTTCCAATACCTTCCACAACACCCATTCGCCTTTGTACCAAACACGCTGCCTGCTCCTGTAATTACTGTTATCTTGGTGAAAGGTCAAAATCCTATGATTTTTGCGGAGGAGCAAAATCAGGGGGTCGAATATTCGGTTTGAAGTACTATCCAGGAAATAAGGGTGTCTCGCAGTACAGGATAAGTCCCAACATTCTCCACCATCTGCATATCTTCCCATCGTCCACCGACAATAGACGGTGTCCATGTGAGGTGACCGAAACGGTGGCGGCGGAGACCAAAAAATTGCCACCCGGTAAAATCACCACCGAGAGCAGTGACGGCAATAACAACACTGAGGATATTGTATAGTCGGCTCGTACGCTCGCTCAAGCATCTCCTCCCCCTCCTCCACTTCCATACGCCTCACTTGCAGATACAGCAAAGACCCTAGATGTGTCATCCCCTCTCTTCTAGGATTTGTATATTTTTGCATTCTTCCACTAATCATCGCCTCATCTCTGTCCTACTCAAGGTCTATCTCTCAATCTCTCGAACTCTCTCTCTAAGTATGCAGTGTGTGATAGATGTTGTTAAGCTTTCTCAGATGCCTCACCCTGCCCTATGCCCTAGACCTACTGGTTTTTTCACTCCTAAGCAATCATCAACACTAGCATTTCAGATTTATGGTAAATAAAGAAGTGAGAAATGCGTTCTTGCCTCTTTTTTGCTCATTTCAGTTGCAGCCGCGGCTTTTTTTGAGCGAAATCCCCTGGGAGTGTGTGTGAATGGGGATAATTTACCAGCTACCGAGACAAGGAGGAGAGGGATAGTTATCAAACCGGTAGTTTTTTTCCGTTTCGTAGGTCATTTGTGGTGCTAATTATAACTAAAGATAGACGAGAAATTGGTAGGAAAATGAAGGAATGTAAAGCAGGAAATTTGTGGTATCATTCATTGTATTGCTCTCCCGTTGTCAAGGAGAGCAAAGAAATAACGCAACATACCTCCCATTAAGAGTGATTGAACCTGCACATTAGTCCTACATTCCCTTGGACATCGTTCTGGCGCTTCCTGATGCCTCGGCATGATCTGTGAGGAGCCCTGAGATGGAACTGAAGATGATGTAATAAATTGGCATCACTGGGATAATGACGGCGATTTCAATGTTGGTGACAAATGCTATGGATAGATTTGGGATCTTCTTCTACAGTACCAGGTTAAAATGGATTTGAAAGATATCGCAACGAGACTTCTTTGAAGACGGCAGAACACATAATATGTGGACAGAATGTGTTATCGCCTTATAGAAGGGCTGGAGGTGGCTAATGGTACGGCCCGGAGGCCATGGCACCCCGTGAAAGTACCGCTGCGGAGCTCCAAGGCGCCCCGTTACCAAAACTGAGAGGTAAACAAACAATTAACGTATCACATGGCCCCTTCTCTCTTTTGAGCGTCGTCTCCGGCGCTATCCCAGGTAAATCTGCGCCAGCTATCAAAACTTAAGCGGTGCCATAAGAAAAACAACACGAACCGACTGCACCAGTCACCGAAATTCCATGCAACTGAGCAAAAAATTAACTGTAAAGTCAATAAGTCCCCTTAGTAATTCCACTGGGTCTAGAGTTTTGCCTTATTTAAGAGACGGAAGAATGCGTTGTAGATTACGTATGTACATCGCTAGTCGTCGGAACGCTGACCCAAAAGCAGAGCAATTTAATAAAGAACGGGATTTAACATACTTCCTTGGTGGTAGGATTTCGCGTCTATTCCTCCCTGAAACTTTTTTCTCACCTCATCACTACGCAGCTTCATCTATCTGGGCTCTATCCAGCTATTAGAGGAGTAGAGGAGGTACTATGTACTCGCATAACTGACATCTTCATACAGGCACCGTAGACAGCCCTGCAACGGACTTTGCCAGAGGGTTCACGGCTAGCGTTGCTTCAATTGTTGATCAGTTTTCTGTAGAACTCGAGACTGGAGTAGTGGTCGCAGCAGATAAACACCATTTTCAGTCCTTCTGTTGGGGGTTTCACAGATTCTCCCCATCCACACCATGTGCCCTTCTTCCGTCACGTTAAGACTTGGAATTCAGGAGTAGAAATCAGAAAAATTGCCCTTTAAGACCAGGTTAGTTTTCCGCTGCTACCAATGTAGCGCTCCGCGACCTTTCTGAAGACGAATGAATTCATAATGCTCGGGCCAAATGTGCATTGTCGGCCCACAGAAGGGCTTGGGTCTACTGACATGGCTCGGAAGTTAGGCCACCCGGTGGAGGTACAACGGCGGTGCCCCTGAGTGAGTGGCTCGTCACAAAAGCTGAGTGTTAAGCAAACAGCCAAGACATTAGGGAGCCTAAGGCCAGACACCGTTTTACAGCAATGATTCGTCCTATGCCAGCCGCTTTTCGGCGTGCTATCGGCCAAAGGGCCAATTGTTTTCAGTTAGCAGTCATGTAAGGCCGACGTCGATAAGTGAAAACCTGGTTTTGCTCCGGTGGTGATCACTTAGCGAATATGGAACTCCAGAACTTGTGCAAAAAGTTGATGAGATTCTGATGGTCTTTCGTTTTTACAGATTATGCTGACCTTCTTCTTCCGGATTATTTAGGTTCGGTAAGCAAAGAAAATGGGGGGTTTTCTTCATTTCAAATTGATGCTTTTAACACCCCCTTCGATGTAGCACTCGAGTATTCTTGGAGGCTGTGATGCTAGACCAATGTAAAAGAATGATTTACTGTCTATGTGCAGGTGATATGGGGGATGTCCGTAATGCGGAGGTGGTGGTAGAACCGACACCTACTGAAGTACGTCAACACAAAACGAAGAATGACGGAGTAAATACTGCTACAAAAAGTATCAGGGACTGGAGAAGGTAAAGTGTACAAACTAAAGAAAATTTGGTCGCGAAAGCGCAAATTTTATTTTGTCTTCTTACACTTAGCTTCGAAGTGACATCGGACGTTTTCCTCCCGTGACTGGGATTTCTAAAGGACTCCTAGAACGTTGGATGTTTGGTGCACCTGCATCAACAGCAGTTACCGCACTCAAAAGACATTCTGTTTTTGAAAATAATACCGAATCCTCACTGCTTTCCTCCACTTCTGGGCAAAGTAAAAGTAGCAAATTAGGCTGACGTTGTAGAAAAATTCGAAGGTAAAATCAGATATTTACTCCATATATCCTTCTCGGAGCCTAGCATTCGAACGGGCCTCAGGTAACATTTTTCCTTACACCACACAGGCAATTTCATCAAGTAAAAAAGGAGGTAAAGAAGAGAGGGAGAGAGGTGGAGTTGAATCCGACAACAACCCCCATTTGCGTTATGGCTGTTTGATGAGACTTCACTTGTGGCATGCAACGCGACCTTATCTGAGCTGAGGCATCGCAGTTTTGTGTTGCAACGAGCACACTGCTCTGTTGCCTCGTTCTTTTATTGTGCAAAAACGAAAAATCTCCAATCAAGAGGTGAATTCGCCCTCTGCTGGTTTACAGAGGTGTGAGACTAGAATTCTTTAGACATAATGAGGATTCTGCACCAGGGGACCATATAAACCTTATCAAAAGCTCCGGAAGTTCGTATTATTCTTGGGTTTTTAGAAAGAAAATCTCCATAATTATGAATATTTTATCCGCCAAAGCTGTTGTTCTGACAAAAACGCATCACTTTTTCTAAACGCCACATAAGGTGGTGGCATCCCCTACCCATTCTCAGATCACCTGAGGCGGTCGGTGGTGACAAACCCTCAGTCTTGGGCTGAGTGGTACACCAAAACCCTACGACAGATATAGACTGCGGATAGCTGAATTTGTTGCAAAGGAGAAAACGAAATGGCTCTAGCTTTAGGAGGACTTCCTAATATCAAATTTTACAGTAGTAGCCGACAACGAGGCGAGACCAGATTTAAATGAGGTGAAGACATCTGTCGTAAAATAACGAGACCAGAAGCAAGTATTGATAGGAAAAGTGATCGCTCAGTGTCGAATACCGGCCAGCCTTTAGCACTACCTCCAGAATTGCGATCCACCTGGAAGCGAAGGAAATGTTTAGGATAGCCAGCTAGTGCCCCACCACGTTCTACTAATAAGCAAATAAGTAGCATTGCCCCCATGATAAGTCTTCATAAATGTAACTCTGACCTGCTTTGCAACCTATTACAATGAACCACAACGGAAACAACATCGAATGGAGGTGGAGGTCTGTGTGGCACAACAGCGCATACAAAGCCGACTAGCCGGCCTTGACATCTCCTTGGTGTTACAGAGTCCCACCCACGTCCATAACCAATCAGCTAGCCTATCAACTAGTGACAAACTTTCAACCTCACTGGTTTGCTCTTCTATGTCTTTAAGGGTGACCTGGAGGGCTATAATGTCACTTCTGGAAATAACAGCCTTCGAAGATTTTAGGGGAGACCTCACAAAACCAAAGACAACTTCGTTTTTAGAATCCGGTATTTTACGGTTTTTCGTTTATTTAATTACTGTCTAGAATTTAATTTCATAGTATTATTATATGAAGAATTCACTTTACGGACACGTTTCATGGGGAAGCTATTTAAAATTTTACAGCCACTTATTTACTAACAGCTCCTTTTTTGCCCCTTCTACTTGACCACCTTCCAGTAACCCTGGCAACCCTCGGGTTGTTCCCTATTGTATTTGGCCTTGCAGACACTTTTCCAAACCAAACTCCGAAGTCTCGTTTCGCAGAGAGGAAGCTCAGAATTAAAGTTGTCTTGTACTGAGCTCAAGGATCTCAACTTTGCAGATATACCTCAGTAAGGTTTGAAGAGGTTACTTTTCCAAATAAATTGCACTGTTAGTGGATGAATGGATCGATGAACGCAGGACGGATAGATGAGGCATCGACCCAATCAAAAAGATGACCTTCCTCCCCTTTGGACGCCTTTTTTGATGGCTACATTTTCGCATCAGGGTGAGTGAAGGACGTGAGGACCCCTTGAAATTTCCCCCGATATAATTGGGAATAAAAGTGGTAACCAGACTGGACATCCAGTTATGTTACTTTAAGGTGGCCGAAGAACCATCTGCTAATTTGCTACTTTATGAAGAAATCGCCGAAGTTCTGGGTGTCATTGCTAGCCCCACGATGAAAAAGTATCCGCGCAATCCACCATCGGTAATTATTAGCGTCTGAGTGCTCTTGTGGTGAAAGGTCTCCCTACAAGTGAAAGCATTCCTTGAGCTATTGCTTTGAGTCACGCCTTACTTTCCCATCGTAACCGACCAGGATACAAACTAATGGCAAAAATTTTAGCAGCTAAGAAATTCTTGCCATTTCATCTACCACCTATATTTCAAGGGAGAACCGATCACATCAGACCATATCCCTTAAAGCTCCGAGAAGTTTATGATGCTCAAGGACCAAAAGGCTGTGGGTAATTTCAGATTAAGGAAGTCCAAAACACGTGTACACACCTCATTGATTAGGGCCCAATTAGTCCACCTGCAAATCGATTTGATGCAATCAGTTCTAGTAGACTGGGGAATGACACACGTCACATATTTGCGACACTAATGTCAATGAATCCTTTCGCCAGCCCAATGAAGAAAGTGGTACTTATGAGTGTTATTCACGAATAATATACCCAAATGATGACAAACAAATACATATAGAGTGGAAACCATTCCATTTGCAATTCTTCCACCAAGAGTAGCTTGATTCATTGCAAAAAAGACGAGCTGCAAACTCGCTACTAACAAAATTGTAAGTAGCATTTGTCGTGTACACTAATTTAAAACAGTAGAGACATTCGATAACATGCGGAGGAGGTCTAACGTAAATAGTAACGCTTCCTTGTTATGTATATCCTAATTATAAGGTGGTTTTCCATTTGGGTCTATCCCAGAAGTAATCTAAAGCACGACTCTTTTAGGCCAACAAAACGTGGGTTGAAGACTTCATGGGCTAAAGGTGGGAAGAAGAGGACAAAATAACTGACTGACGCACAACCCAGCAGGTAGCAGGATTGCAAAAGGGTCGATCCAGTCTTGCCATTGCAACGGTGAACATGTCACATTCAGATACGAATGGTCTGCCTGATTTAGGAAGTGACTCTAAATTTTGGTCTCTTCATTACGGTTGCGCAACTAACCATCAGGTAACTAAGGCTCATCAAAATGCATGATTCTGCCTTAATGACACATGCGGATGCTATGAACACCACATTCATAATGCCTTGTCTTTTGAAGCCTAGCACATCCAGTTGGCGAAACTAAATAGTGGTTGGATGGACTGCATTACGTAGTCATTCTTCTACTCACCGGCAAAACCAACGTTTAGAGTTATTTAGGAGTTAAACCTACGCCAGAGGGGCGGAACTTCTATAAGCCATGCTTTTATTGGTTAAGAAAAGGTCATTTACCACGTACTAGGAGATACGTACAACGTCAATAGAGTGACCAAGGCCACAAGCCAATAACGTTTGAGTTAGGCTGAATTCTTAAAATAACTGTAAGCAAACTTCCAGTATCAAAAAGGGAACCAAATAAGCAAGCGAATCACCGACATAAGTAATACCAAACGACAAACTCATGAACACGCAATCTCTGTTTCTTTTAAATGTGAAATAGCTAGGAGGTGGATTAAAAGGCGCAAGGAACAGTCTCACAGAAAAGAACTGCATGCATCAACCGGTAGACAGTAACCAGCGACTGCAAGGGTAGACAACAGAGCGGGGGCGATGCCGCCTCCCCCTCCTCATCACCGCTGCCACTTACTGGAAAGCTAAAGAACGGATGCAGATGCAGCATCGCGTTGGCTGTCTCGTCGATAGTAGGAAAGGTGGCACGCAGGGGGCAGGAGGAGCAACGCAGCTCAAGGAAGAGGTGTGGACTCACGGAAACGTTAGTCACACGATCCAGCAAGTGAACGGTGCGGATTCGACGAGTGGGAATGAGAGAACTGCGTCGCCAGCGGCCCGAGAGGTAACGACAAGAGCATTGGACTCCCAGAGGACGACTCGCAAGCACAACAACTGACGAAAACAAAACAATGGAATCTTTTTGAAATGTGTTAAAGTATGAGGAAGCATCGATTTCCATAGCATAGCGGTCCGTTTACGACACCTCATTTATCTACCGAACTTGTGCAGCCGGTAGTGTCCTTAGTGAAGACTCTGGTACAACAATAAGCCTAGTGTCAAACGAGGAGGGGTAAAGGTGCATCTGAGCTGCAAAACACCAGTTTTCTCAGAAAGGAATCATCTATGAGGATGTGACATTGAAGCAGCGATTCTTATTCTAATGCCCTCTGACTGAAGGAAATGTCTTTAATTACTGAGTCTCATGTTCATTCACTGGTGTTAACCCCAAACTTCGGCAGGATTTGTCTTCAGACGTCCACGAGTCCGACCATATCGAAACGGAACTCGGCTAGCTAAATTGTTTTCAAGGCTTCAATGTACCTAAAACAGTAACTAAAGAAAAATTTGCGAACAATAACTGACACATGGATGGGGATCAATGTTTTCACTACTTTAGAAACATCACCGTGCGTGACTTATGTCGAAGCATAAAGTGATCCACCAAGTCGTAAATGATAAATCATATCACAGATTAATATGACAAGCGCACATAATCCAGGCACATCTTTTTGCGTTATTGCTTCATTTCGCTAGTGAAGACTCATGGTTTGGAAAATATCAAGGTGAATTATCAGTTTAAACAGCCAAATAGACGTAAAAGTTTGCTCTAAAGTTAAATCATTTCGATCGTTGCTCCTAAAATGATAAAGCTGGAGACTTCCGTAATGAAGGGATGAAAGAAAGAGGTCTAAAACCCCCAAAATTAACGTTTCAGGGGATCAGTTGCTTAAGATTTTTGGAAAAAAAAGTGGTAGGAACAAACCTTCACAAATGGTGGTGTGAAGCCAGACCAAGACAATAAGAATCGAGATAAAGACGTGGCAGATGGCAATCAGACTCTATAAATACAAAATTATTTCCAACTTAAAATAAGCCTCAACAAAATTTTTTATTGTAATTTATTAAAAATCTGGCCGATGGAAGACAACCCACACGCAATCGGCAGGAGAAAATAATCCCTCCGACAATATGGCCAATAACGAGATAAACGAGGAGTGACAAAAAGGGTGGTTTCATTTTCACCCTTACTTCGACCCACGCAGGTAGAGTATCACCCGACATCACGGTGGTCTGTAGTGATAGGTCGGTGAACTTGGACTGTAAATATGGAGCGCAAATGCACATGTCGCAACCGCAATCGTTCATGGTGACAACACCCCATGTTCTGTTAAAATATGGAGTCAAGTTCTGAGTCGAGGTCGAGGGAGTAAGAAGATAAAATAAGTGAATCCACTCATGCTAAATTGCGTTTTCGATATGAGGATAGAAAACAGCAGAAATTTATTAAAAACCTACCACATAAAGTGAGTAAAGCCAACACACCTAACAAAAGTTGGTGAAGAAAGTTATAACGTGAGACGACGAGGCAAACAAAATGCCACATCAAAGCACATAGCGAAAATGACAGGACATCGACTAACGATTTAAAGCTCATCGAAATCCCTGACTGGATGACCGCAACACAAGAAACGCGACCAAATCTGAGCGCGACTCCCACGCACACGTAAAACGAAATTAAACAAATCCTTTCATGGTTGGTTACCTGTTCCAAGGACGAACAAGCAGCTATGCACAATTTAAAAGTTTAATAGACTATTTTACAAAAGGCTAAAAAAGAAACCAACTAACAGAAATTGGTCTTTAAAAAGCCAAATAATGAATTCTTTTTTATTTCTGTATGAATATCTATCATATTTATAAAAAACAAGTTTGTTTGCCCACTACTGCCGAAATTTCCAAAGCTGCTTTCTTATTTTCCAATGGGTTTTATTAGTGCTATCTATACCTGCCGATATTCTACGAAACCATATGTTCTTATGCAGCACCCCTGGACTTCCCTGAAGACGAAAGAAGATATAATGCTTGGGCGGAACATATATTCAGCACAGAGAAGGCATTTGGGCTACTGGCATGGCCCGAAGGCCAAGCCACTAGACTCCCCGCTAATACCGAGGGATAAGCAACCACCGTATTACACTTATATTTTAGTGTGCCTCTTATTATCAATCAGTTCATTTATTTTTGTTAATGGCAGTCCTATTTACTGAGGTTATGGGGATGAAGATAGTAATTCTCTGTGACTTGTTAAGTATTTACTAAAGGCGGAAGAAGTTACATAACCACTACGGCTAACGTATTACCTCCGACCGGAAGGGCTGAAGGTGCCACCGGCATGACTTTAAGTCCACGCAGCCGAGGGGAAGTTTAATTGACAAAATGCGGCATTTTGTTTGACTTCCAATGCATTTTTTTACCATGAACACAATTTCAACTGACGTTAAGAGTGGTAGTGCAAGCCGGCTCGACACGAAACGCCCGAATGTGGCACCTTGATGGGCACGCCGCAGCCAACACCCCCGACTCGTCGATCTCAGATCACCTGCTCGAATTCGCCCCCCCCCCCTTTTTCCACAATATCATGTATCTACAAACTGACCTCCAAATAAGAGCATCATCCCCCGAGAACCTAGGCCTTTATTTCCCGCGCACATCATCATCTCATACTACTTTAAGTAGTATGTTCCTACTTAAGTAATTGACGTATTTAGCGACCCTTCACCAACCTGATCACAAAATAAAATAAGCACTTGCTAACAGCATGTATACACCCGTTACAGTGGTTATAAAAAACATATTTTTAGAAATTGCATGTAACATGATTGTAGTAAAACAATCGGTTCGGAAGGGAAGAGAATAGCACCACCTTCTATCGACGTCTGGACCGCCTTCCGTGTCTCCTGAAACCATATAAAAACCGAAAGTGCAACTGCCACGCCACAGCTGCAAAAGACATTCAACTCCGCTTAGCGAGAAATAAGGTAAATCTCTCAAAAAGTAAGGTTTTCAAAGTGAGGTTTTGAAATGCTGACCCAGTTAAATTCTCCCATCTTTGAATGTAATAAGTTTGGAGAAGACTGCCACAAGTGAGGACACTGGAGAATCCCAACTATAGACCAGAAACGAGTTAAAAGGCACCTCACCTCAATTCCCTCGACCAGCTTCCACGACGCTCGTCACCGTCATCCGGAACTGACGATGCTATTGGGGTAAAAATTGATGCCGAAGTACTGACAGTGGTGGGAGCTGTAGTGGTAAAGGGCGTTGTCAAGGCCATATTATCCCCCATGCCAGTGGCTATAGGAGCAGTGGTGGAGGCAAAAAAAGTAGAGGAAGAGGTGGTGGAGGAATGAGGACCGCGGCTATCGACACCGCTAAGCGCGTGGCGCACCTGCGCAACTACCGCGGAGGGATCGGAAAACTGCGAGGCTTCCCCACCCGGTCGATCACCGTAGAGATGCCACGTCTTGTAGGTCAGTGCACCCACCTTGTTGCCGGTCAACAGGCAGACGCGTACCGCGAAGGTTGCACCCAATTCAGAGGCCATTTCCAAAGGATCCTGTGATAAAACAGAAAGAGCAAGGAATATGTCAGTAAGTGGAAAAAATGGGAGATGTCGAGATCCAATTCCAAAAATCAACAAAGGTTCGGTACGTAAACCCCTTTCAAAACAATTCTAGGGAGTGTTATAAGCTTAACAGAAATTGTTTCGAAAGGAATCGTAACCCGCAACCGATGAAGGTAGAAGGCTTGGATTCTAGTTGATAACAAGGAGAGTAGGAATGAGGCTGAGGAAATAGCACCCACCGATGTTCTCTTAAGCACCAACCGCGTGGAGATGCCCCCAGCAGACCACAACTGACAAGCCAGATGGAAGGCCTTGCGTTGGGCGAGAGCGCAGCCAGTCTCATCAACGAGGCAGTAAGCAGGCAGATTGTGATTGGTCAGCTCTGTGCCGGGGGGCAGCACCGAAGGGAAAAAGAATGAGGTAGTTGAGGCACGTTTGATGAGAGTGACAGCAATAGCGGTGGTAGCTTCACCGCAACCACCCTCCGCCTCCGCTGTGGACGATCGCGAGCCACGGGAGCAAAGGCGCTCTAGCGCAAATATCCGAGTGTCTCGAGTCCGTCGCTCCCATGTCACCACCACATGGCACAACGAAGTGGTCAGTAGTAGAGGCATGGTCAGCTGAAGGAGGAAAAGGCGGAAAGATTATAGTGACTCAAAAACCAGTTCTGAGATTATCCGAAAATTTCATGTAATCACAACGTGACTTGTTTACATAATGAAGGCGTTATATGGATTCTCAGTCTCGTGTTATTTTGGGTGCGACAGATCCAGAAGATCCCTCTGAATAAGAAGATAGACAGCGTGGCCAAACAACCAGTAGGAATACTTACAGATGGCGGGTTGGCAGACTGTTTATCTACGACGTAGAGCAGAAGTCTGGCCAGTCGATTAACCGAGACAGCAACTCCGAATACACCAGAGGGAACATCCGAGGTGGTGACAGCGGCGAGGGCCGCAGAGATGGAAGGATTAATACGAGACTGTGCAATGGACTTCCACGGCGTTGCAGTGGGTAGCGCTTTATGGTTCTCTTCTTCCTCGTCCTCCTCTTCCTCAGTGTCCTCGTCACCATCAATCTGTCTCGACTTCAACACCTTTTCTCTAGTAGACAATTAAAAGTAATTCCTAGACTAGAGGTTGCTTGGGTACTATAGTACTCTCAGGTTACGATTTCCATCTTAATGTCATGAAGTCACGTTCATGGTTTCGGCCAGCCAGTCCTCTTGTGTGCTAATTGTAATGTGGTAATGGCAACAAAGTATAACTCACTGAATGCGCAGGAATTCCTGTGGCGGTCGAAACCGCTGTACGAGGTGTTGATACTCTCCCCCAGAGGCGAGAACCAGGAGTCGGGCGCGTGAGCTCATCAGTGAAGTTCCTAGAACAGGATTCGTGGTGGGTTTCTCCTCATCCACCAAACTTTCAAAATCATCGGCTTTGCAGGAATAACAGACCAGCTGATACACGAGGCCTTGGTAAAGGTGGCAGGGAAGCACCAACCCTGGGGTGAGAACAATCTGAAGGAACAAGGGGAGGTGATGAAGGCTTAGTTGAACAATAATTATTTTGCTCCAGTGTGACTACATGGGTCTTTCCATCAATTGTGTGATCCCCAGTAAACCTGTAAACTACAAATCCCGGCTTGACTTGAGCTTCCCCCTCGTATGGCACAACGGCTTCCAGATTGACACGCCTCATAACCTCTTCAGTGATGACTCGGGATGCTAAAGTGGCAACACCCCTAATTATTGAGCCATCAAACCTACGTGGAATGAGGGAATCGCTTCCCATCGATGAACACAATTAATAAGTTTTGCGAGGCGTTGACAATGCTGATGGATGTGGGCCTCCTTCGTGACACGAGACATGCAGTGACGATGCGAGGGCACCTCCAAAAGAACCTCAGCCAGCTCCTCCACCCGTGTTGTCTCGAAACGCATCAGGCGCGTCAGGTGACGCTGCAAGAAGCCGCGATGGTGGGGACGACTTTGCGGCTGCTGATGCTGCTGTTCGTGTTGTTGGTGGAGGGTGCTGAGAAGGTATTCGGGAAAAACAATGTGTCGGCGGAATGGGAGTCTGGACGACTGCTGTTGCTGAAGTACGGCTTCAGGAGTCTCACAAGCCTCGGCCAGGTGACGCCACAGACCCACGCGCAGATCAGATGGGACGGAGAGCACCTTGAAAATGTACTCCAGCAGGTCGGTATGATTGAGGTAGAGCACGTAAGTCAAACCCTGAAAGAATTAAGTACATCAATCCCGGCTCTAATTATATGACTGGACGACGAAAATGGGTAGTGTCCAATCTCAAATCTTGTGTACCAAGGAAACGATATGACGCTATTAAAGAGTAAGGCGAGTGCATGCCTTCAATGTTCTTTGACTAAGATTTTGTTAGGATAAACAGGAGACAGTTAATCATGAATCTAGCGATTCAAAAGTCTAAATTAACCACGCAGTGCATTTGTCCAAAAATAACCGGAGAAAAATAAAATCAGCTTTAGAGCAGCTCACCTCAAGTGAAATTAAAGAGATAACTTCGTTCAAGATATGAAAGATCTCCACCAGTAGATGAGGCCTAGAGGAGAGGAGGAATGCGATAAAATTATCAAGACTAACAACACTTAATCACTTGTGATCTCTAGATCAGATTAAAAAATTGGGGCGGTGGGAGAAGTGTTAAATCCAACTGACTGATAGTTCGCCGCAGCCATATCGAAAGAGGCCCGCTTCATCTCCAGTGGATGATCCACTGCCCTAAAGGGATTGGCATGAGGCCATGGTCGGTAGGTCCGTCCAATCTGGTAGGTTCGGAGCTCCCTCAATGGCGGCGGGTTGATTCCTGTATTGGCTAGAAACCGCGCCAGGCCGACATGAAGTGCATCAGGCAGGGAAACAGGCACTCCCTGGGCATCAAGAAGCACAGGTCCCCCTATGGTCGTACGCGCATCTGCCAGGTGTTCTGCCTCCGCTCCACTGCCCCCACCACCGCCTTCTGCTCCACCACTGCCAACATCTGAGGGGGCCTGAAGACAGCTTACCGAAGTGGTAGGGAGTGTGGTGGTGCCAGGGCAATGCAACCAGCAAGCAACAGACCTTTTGTTCACTGGGATCAGTGTGGGCGGTTGGATGGGCAAAGCGCAGTGGGCAGCAAAGATGGCCTCAAGGTGGTGGACTATATACCGTTCAAACAACTGGTAGCGCGAAAAGTCGCGCAGTAGATCTAAATCCCTTGATCCAGAGGCACCGAAAAAGTAAGGCAGTTGTTGGGAAGGAGAGTTGGTCGTGAGGGACTTGGATCGGTCGTAAAGAAAATCCTACAAAACCGTAATTAGTGAAGCACGGGTAATAATCCCAAGTAGTGTTCACAAAAAGAACCTCACAGCAGTCCGAGAGCAGGACATGGTGAGAAGATTGTTGGCAATGAAACGGTAGAGCTTATTGCCTGGATCTCTGAATATATCGAGGACTTGTTTTCGAAATGCCGACTCTGTAGACTCCAGTGGGGGGATAAGAGGGGACGCGAGGATATCCTACAATGAATAACTTGAACTCATTAGTTAAAGTGCTACTTGCTGGAAGTGATTTGAGCTCGATGTTTGACAAGCCCCGTTTCGCTCGGTTCTAAATCAGCAAAAGGCAGTCCCCCGTCAAATATGCACTTGTAGAGCATTTGGAGGGCGTGAGTATGCGGTAGCGGAATGCACCGACCAGAACAGAGTGGTGTAAACAATTCGAGTCTAGTGATGGACCACCCAGAGATACTGTATGACGTTCAGGAAACCACCTATTTTCGACGATGAAAAAATACATATCAGTATTGACAAACAATTGCAATACTGGTTCGTTGCAGGAAAGAATGCACACTTCAACACACTACCAATAACAATACCCATCGCTGTTGCGGACTGACTCATAATCAGCCAAAATCGGGCTAATCACTCACTGAAGCTGTCGGTCGACGGGCAGGATCATGGTGAAGGAGGGCCCTGATGAGAGCAGTCTGCTTGGGTTTGGTCTGTGCATCCCAGTCCTCGGGAAAGATTATCTTTGGCTTGCGGATGTCATTGAGCACATTGACACGCTCCATAAGGGTGTTTGTGCGGCGGTAGAACATCTCGAAGAGGATAATACCCAGACTGTATATGTCAACTTTCTAGATGAAAAAGAATAAATCCAATAAGAGGTGGCGAAGAGGAGCGCCAAACACTTTACCAACAAAAGCTATGTAGGGATTGATCGAAGATGGGCAGATTTGACTGATCTAAGATGAGAAATGGTTTAATAGGTAGGTAGATGGAGTAGTTATGAATGATTGACTACAGGTGTCGATGAATGGACCCGGGAAAGTAATAGATGTGTCGATGATAGACTCAAAACTGATAAATGGATTTGAAGCTGACAGACAAAATTGAAGCGGATTCGCGTGAGATAGCTAAGTAAATGAAAAAATAGATTTGAGATAGATAGAAATTCGAAATAACTAAATACTACCCAAACAGATCAGTGGATGGGAGGCACAGTGATGGATCTGAGTCGATGAATGGAAGAAACCGGGATAGATGGATGGATGGGAAAGGAAGCAGGAAGTAAACGCACGCACCTCGTTATAAACCAGTCGCGTTTTCCGCTTCGAAGCAATCTCCGGACTCATGTAGAATATCGTGCCCACATTCTCCGTCATGCAGTTGGACCGGGCTGCGGTCAGAGCAGGTGTGTTTGAGGAGAGAGGATTACTCGCCGTCATCCCACACGTCACCTTTGCCATGGAGCTGCCTCCCCGGGACGTTTCCGCGCTACTACCAGACGTGACGTGGTAACGAAGCTGCGCGCCACTTCGTACTCCGTGCTTTCGATGGATGGAGAAAGTTCGCATTAAACTTGCTCGCAAATTTAGTCGTGTTTATAATTCTGCATTCATCTATACCCGAACCATAAAAGATAGGCATAAGCCTCTATTCTCATTGATTGGTTGCCAATGTTAGTGAACATCTTCGGTTTAGGTTGAACACTACAATAATACTAATGCAGCTAAGAATGACATTTCGGTTTTCCTGCTCTTCTGTAAGCTCATGACAAGGCTCATTCGAATTTGTGTGCTATAGTGTCTACAGAGAAAAATTTAGACGCAACACCTTTACATTTATCTCTTGTTTGGGAAGAAATTTATTGGAATGCAGCAACTGACGTGGATCCAATAAAAATTGCTCATTTATTAAAATCGTCCCATTATGACCAGCGATGGGGAAACACCATTTTTGAGTGAGTTCAAACCTCGCATAAGAACCTACAAGAACAATAAAAGATCAGGGAGATATGACAAATAGACCAGACCAACAAAAGACACGTCAAGACCGCGTTTTGTTAGAATGAATGCTGTCGAAAACACCCACCGCTCCAGGGATAACTCCCAGGAGCGTATTGGTCCGTCAAACGGTCGCAGAGAGCTTCTTAAAACACTTGACGCAAGTAAATGAAACTATCACAATCCATCGTTCTTTCCAACAAGACACACGTTATCTGCAAATTTCGCTTTGTCTCGAAAAGACTAGAAATGATCTAGTCCTAACCACCTACATTTTCCTTCGTTTATGTGATTGCTTCATTCCAACAGGCGAGATAAACCATCCTTAAAAACGTATCAGAAGGGTAGGAAGGACAAAAGTAAGACAGTATTACCTTTCCACCCTCAAATCCAAAGCTCTCTATAGCTCAATTTTCCGGCAGTGCACAGAGTCTTGCAAGAAACAGTCTTTATCAACAGCTTTCTAGATTTTATCACTCCTAGTGAAGT